TAGATGCGTATACCACAGGATTCGTGTCTTAGCGCGCGTGCGGAGAGGAAAACATTTTCTACGTCGGTGATGGATTTTAGTTATACTCGGATAAGTCTGAGTTCTCCATAGTGTGGCGAGTTCAGATGACGAGTAATATGTAACAGATTTATGAGCTTTGCTTTAACACTCATCAGCACGCATAATGAGTTCCACTGTTCTCGTTCGTCCAATAAGTTACCATGCAATTTGATGGTGGTAGATTCAGGGACATTTGAGCATGCAACCGTTCGGCACCATTGTTAGACCCCTTTTTTCGTTGATCTACAAGGTAGGGTAATCGTTTGTTTTCACCTGCTGACAAGTGTAATTGTTTACTGTTTGTCTCTCTATTCGCGTTACCGGCGTTTACAATAGAAGAGACCGCAATGGCTTACCTTTGCCACAAGCTATGCATATGTAACTATAGTTCCCGGGGTCTATGTCTGCAGAAGAGACAGTCTAGCTACAGGTACAGAGGTTTGGTGTTCGTCTGCTTCATCCTTGTTAATGCTAGATGTCAGGTCTAGTGGCATTTTCTTAACCAGACGTTCCGAGTGGTGCCTTATATTTTCCATGAGTACTGTTTGACTCTCGTAGGTGCGGTCCGTTTTCACTCGGCGTTCTACCAAAGTTGGGGTAGACAACGGAGAGGACACGTTTCAAACGGATCAAAACACACTGTAGCACGCTGCAGCTGAGGACGGCGGAGGAAGGCTAACTATTTAGCCACTTTCAGCGGAATTCCTACCCTAAAAGTGTTATGCTACGCCGTCTGAAGTCAAAAAATCAACCAGCGCCCGTTTCTGCAAGTGCCACGGAGAGGAAAACGTTCGCTCTACCCTACATCCATTGGATTTCTGAGATGGCAGCGAGGCTTTTAATGGCTCACAGGATCAACGTTGCACGTGAAGCAACGGAAACTATTCGGAGTAAACTTTTCAGGGCAGAAGACCAACGGAGTAAAGAAGAAACATCAGGTGCGATTTACAAAATTTTCTGCAAAAATTGTGACAACTACTACGTGGGCCAGACTGCGAGGAAAGTTGGCACAAGACTGGATGAACATAGTCTGGCCATCCGCCGCCATGCTGCGAAATCACTAATGTCAGTACATATAGATGTCGAAGGTCATCAGTCCGATCTGGGGAATGCCAAGATACTAGGAAGAGCAAAGAAGCACAGAGCGCGTGCGTACATTGAGGTCTGGCACTCGGGCCAGAACTCAAACAACAAGCATCTAGAACGCGAAGGGGTGTACGAAGCGCTGCAGCTGAGGTCAAAAATAAGTACCAGATCAACAGGGCGTAGACGTGGCCACTTGGCGGACCCAAGTGACCCAATCGAAGGTACATTCAAAGCAGAAGAAGATTAATAGTCATTTGGATCTGGCAGTTGCTTACGAGACTACAAATTAGACATCTATAGCCGCACTGAGGATGTTGCCTAGTTTGACAACGAGCCTGCAACCAAATTACTTAGCTCAGCGAACACTCGGAGAACAATCTTCTCATCCCCATCTTTCGTCCAAGTGAAGGGATTACATAATGCCACTGCTCAGCGTTACTCCAATGGGTTTTACGGAATTGGAAGAGACCAAACATTCACCGTCAATGCAAACTTGTGGACACTGTCAGGATTTGCTGGTTGCGATTTACTTTGGACAACGTGAAAATGACGTCGTCGCATTTCAAGGTATTTAACGGTAGGCAACGGGATTTGGGCCATTTGTGAGGTTAGCCAATACGATTTGTAGCTTGGTTGATGACTCTATGCTTGGATGATGGACGCCAAGGATTACAGAATGGCTTCTTCAGGGACGGGCATTTAAGTAACATAGGTGGAAAACAAGAATGGGGACAAAATGGCTTTCTGAAGATCACCAGAGTTCGCGGTGAATGAAGAAGTTTCTCCCCAACATGGTAAAATAATACTTCAACAGAAGAACAACAAAAGTTTTGACTCTGGAACCTAACAGATCGGTGCAACAGTAGTTCACGGTTCACACAACCGAAAGCGTTTCTAAAATCTAGCAAACAGATGGGGATGGATTTGTTTTTATTATCCAGTGACGAGAGCACAGGATGCATCAAACATGCTGCTGCATCGAAAGTAGATCTTGAGCTGCGATACGGAAACTGCTGTGGGTCATCCAAATGGGTCTGTGCTGAGATGCTTTTAAGAATAAGCCTCTCGAATATCATAAGAACAACCGACGTGCATGCGATCAACCGATATTACTTTGCCACTGGCGTGATGCTTGCGCTTCGTCAGATGTCAGCTGTCTTGTGCTGCTTGAACCACAGCGTGTACAAGTCGGTGAGGGGCTCCGCTAGGTAATCTGCACATTCCTTGAGAACCACGGGAGACAATGTATCCGGGACCAGGTGCTTCGTTCATTTGCAGTCCGATTAGTTCTCTGTGTACTTCTAGGCTTTTCACAGAAGGTGGGTTATTTGAGGCTAGCTGCAGCTCAGCAAAGGATATATAAAAAGATAAAATACTATCCTTGTCACAAAAATTGAGGTTTATTTTTGTCACATCAGGAGTTGAATGCGAGACCTCGAAGAGTGACCCCGCGTAACTTTTAAAGTGTGGTTTGAAGGTAGATATTGTTGAGTGCACGCGATTCGATTTTTCTATCAATGGATAAGTACTTTACTGATGTAATGTCATCGCGTATAAAAATCTTTTATTTAAATCAACGCAGCCGTTTGAGTTGTTGAGAGGAGGATCTTTCTGCACGGATAGAAATTATTTCAAATGGACAACAGGTGTCGAAGCAGAAGTTTAATTAACTAGTTTACGGATTACAATACTTCGATACGTCCGCATCGTAAAAGAAACCAATCGGTGGAGGCAATTGTTGCACGCAGTCCTGCGATGTTCTGGGGCAGGCATTGTCTCCGCCTGAACTTTCGATCTTTGTAACGGGTGAAATCTTTATGGTTTACCTCCCTAAGGATAACGGGCGATAGCTTTAGGATGACATGATTAACGTTTCCAAGTGGTGCCCGATTACAAGTAGAAAAACTTTCAGGTTGTTGACAACTACCATGTCAAGCATTGCATCTAACATGGTTAGAGATTGCGAAGCAATGACCTCCCTATTCGAACAGGTCTGGAAATAAATGGTTCCAGCTAACTGGAGTGAGTAGATTATAGTAGCAGTATACAAAAAGGGTAGCCGCACTGACTCTGCTAACCAAAGCGGTATTAGCCTAACGCCGGTGGCGAGGCAAGTACTAGCCTCAATCCTCGTTCGTCATCTAACTAAGGAACAAGAACCTCGGATTAGAGAAAGGCAAGCAGGTTTCCATCCAGGACGGGGCCATATAAACCACGTAATTTTTTTGCGGCAAGAATAAGAGCATTGCCACACGTGCCACAGGCCGACAATAGTGGTGTTCCTCGATTTCAGGACTGCGTGCGACTCAGTCAATGCTTCTAGTCTGTTGGAGATACTCGAGGGAGAAGGTGTTCCCATGAAATATGCGAACATTTTACGTGCTCTGTACTCGAACACCACAGGCTGCGTCAGAGTCTACGGTGGATTAGCATATATCTTTCCGACAACAAGCGGCGTTCCTCAGAGCTGTCCGATTTCCCCATATTCAACCGTCATGGACCCATCATGAGGCGTTCTATTGCGGAGCCTCACGATGCAGACACTGAGGTGCTGCTTGAAGAACCGCTAGTTGATCTTGATTATAGGGACGATATTGTCCTGCTTTTTAACGATGTTAGGGCAGACCAAGCAACCATGAATAACTTCTCTAGAGTGACGCCATCATTTGGCATGCGCTCCGCACCTTCAAAGTGCAAAATATTGTTATATGACCAGTAGCTACTTGATGTCTCCTTGACCCTTAATGGCGAGGAAGTTGAGGTAGTTGATTACGTCACATACATTGGCGGCTTCGTCAGCAACGATAGGCGCAAAGCATTGAAAGTAGTTCACGTACTGTAAAAGCTAGAACTGTCTTCTGAAATTTACGAAATTCTTGGTGTCAGAAAGGGTTTTCTCTAGGTCTAAGATGCCGTGTTGACAAGGCTACAGTGAGGTCAGTCCTCATCTATGGAAGCGAGACTTGGTCCCTCCAATCTGAAGACCTGCAGGGCCTTCAGGTCTTTGATCATCGCTGCCGGCAAAGTACTGCTGGTGTCGGATGGCACCAGTGTGCTAGAAATCATGACGTAAGTAGGCGAGTGCTAGGCAGTGATACTTATGACAGGTCTTTAGAAAAACTGGTGGCGCAGAATAAGTTGCGTTGGCCTGGGCAGGTGCTACTTATGTCTGGTCATCATTTACTTAGGAGGACCTTGTTTAGTCTGCCAGGTGTGGGGTGGCGCGAGAACCATGGATCAAAATTAACTTGGCAGCCGAAAATCAAGTCACTGACGACCAAACTTGGGGATGTTCGTCCGTCTCGCCTTCCAGGCTGGAGTCCACGTGACCCGTCTTGTGCTTGGCACGAGAAGTTACCGCAAATGGATCGCAGTTGGCACTAGCGGCGTGCCAGCGGTCGTTTCCTAACAGGACTGACTTTTTAATGTGTGATTGGTGCTGAGTTATCTGCAAGGCAATGGCTGACTGTGGCGCGTGGCAGTGAAAGCCGAATGAAAGCTGGATCGCTGATGTCACCTAATGTTTGCTCGATGGCCAGCCGTTTGTGACGGTATGTTGTAGACAAGAGATGTAGGCGCGTTGTTCACGAATGTTTATTTAAGACATTACAGTTTTATGCTAGGTCCCCTTTCGCTTCCTGTTACTATTCTATGTTCCGTAGGTTGTTGGGCGTTGTGCCGAAAAGTGACCCAAGCGACAGTGCATCCTTGACATCCGAAGGCATATACTTGGAGCGAGGAAAAGTGATCTCATGCAGCAATACAAAGACCGAACGACAGGGTTACGGCCACACTGCTGGACATGACTATTGAACAAAGTCAATAGTTGTATTTAGGTACAATCGCGAACTTACTCTTCTGTGGGATCCGGGTGCAATCTGACTTTAACGAATGGGTCTGCCAGCCCGTTGAGATCCATTCCGGGTAGCCCACGTGCCCGAGCCACGTGCACAGTTAAGCTCTGATCGGAGTCATCGAAGGTCAATATGAGCTATAAAAAGAGACCTTAAAGCTGGAGTTAGCGGAATACACATTTCACAGCAGGTTGAAAACGAACGCACTTCCAGGTTGATTGTTTAGTAAGCAGCGAAAAGGCATTGTTTTGTAAAGCAAAACGATTATGATTTGCTAAACGTCGCTTTTAGGGCTTCCCTCGATTTCTTGCCAATGTTGCACACTTCAGAATCGCTTCGAATAGCAGAGATAATGGATGGATTCCTTCCTTCTCGCTTATCGTTTCGTAGATGTTGGTCCGATTGACCACTGCCATTAGTAACCAACCTTTATTGTGCGAACGAACATAGTTTGGTAGCCGTGTTACGATGGCAGTAATTAAAATACCACGCCTGCTGCAATGGTATAGGCGAGGAAATAAATTCAGGACAGCCTCGAAATAAACTTCATGATCAGTTTATCACCACACCAGTGGAAACCTGTCTCACGACAGTAATCATACCTCTGTCTGAAACCACTTAGAACGCCGTCGTGCATTTAGCTTTTCACCCAATCTATCACTGTACGTGGGATCCATCAAAAAATGTTCAGAGTTAGAATCATATTAATCAAAAGAGCTACTGAGATTCACTAACACTAAATTACTTCACCAATACGATTCGCTTAGAGAAACGATACCAGATCTTCAGTATTTCGTTCCAACACGGTTATGGATGTTGGCCTCTTACCCTCCTCCACTTACTAATGTGTGAATGCTACGTGGAAGTGTCAGTACCCACCCGCTTTTCGTCGTTGAGTTTTTAGGACATTTTAATCCTCACAACTTCTAACAATAAACTGCGTTCTCCTTACCTCCCATCATGATTTGCAGCATCCGGTTCCGGTGTTGCCTGTCACCGTGGCCTCCACAAGACAGTCACAGGACGCCTGCGCCAACAGAGGGACCATAGGTGGCTTGCGTTGTACCACCCACATTTCCATCGACCCACCACATATCCAGTGTGAACCAGAGAAAATAAGACCAGGTGGCATGCAGATGGGAACCACGTTTCATCCACGGAGCCGGCCCACACACCTTCAACATGCACAGAAGCAGCATTCCTGTCTATCAATGTAGAGAATCATGCGTGCCAGACGTACACAAGGCGGTGGCTGGGCCGTAGTCCGCTCCACACTGGAGGAAACCACTCTGTGAGCTCAGCACGGCCAGGAGGACCGTGCACACCGTCCCGCGAGCAACGATTCACTGTCTCCCGGAGCCAGTAATCGAAGTGGAGGTTGCTAAGCATGTACGCACATTGTCAACATTCACATCAAGCGCAGCCACACAGCGGATAGCAAAAAACCAACAGAAATTAATGAAAAACAAACCCGCAAAATCAACACCGAATATGCATCAGAATAACAGAATTAATAAGGCAAATAAAGTGGAATGACATTTATCCACATTAAAAAGACCTAGATTAAGTGTAAGCTGGACGGTCGTTTGGAGTACAGGTTTGTGATTGGATTGCGATGTGCAATCCCTATGTAGACCTCGATTCAAATTGAAGTGAACCTTGGTTATTGCGATCAATTTGACCGTACCCCGTCGTGACTCGGTAGCCAAAGGAGCAGAGGTTTCGGTAACTACTCAAATGATCTCGAATTCAAGGCGTGTTATCTTCACCTGATGAGATAAAATGATATCGAAACGCATCGTGGTTGTGCAGTGGGCAACACTTAATTTCCATCTGCTTTGGCTACGGTCCTAGCGATGGATGCGCACTACTGACGATGCCCAACAGGTTGAAACTCCATTCTAGTGCTTTTCCAGACATGTGGACGACTTGCTGATTTGGAAGCTGGCTGCGAAGAACCTAAATTAATTATGTCAAAAACCCCCTACTCATGACTACACCAAAATATCTCCTTCCTAACATTCTCTAAATGCTTTGTCGTACATAGCTGCTGTTGGTGGACCACGCGTCCTTCGGGGCCAACCCTGTCCGCTGCAAAGTTCGTAACATGCATAGCGGTGGGGGAAAGTACGCGCTAAATCGCAGTTAGCTTTTAAATCATGACAGTCCAAAGCTGTCCCCCGTGGCCCAGTAGCATAAGCTGCTGACTGGCGGTTCAAGCCGCTGGTGGTCATGGGTTCGAATCCTGATGGATCCGATGGATGCGCACTACTGACGATGTCCAACAGGTTGAAACTGCAGTCTAGTGTTTTCCAGGCATGTGAACGACTATCTGATTTGGAAACTGGCTGCGATGAACGTCAAATAATTACATCGCGATTTGGGGCTAGATTCAGGGATTACCGACCGGCACCTGCTTCGAAGTGACCTAGACACGGTACATCACTGGTCAGTACAACAATAAATACAATTTAACAAGCGTAAATGCAAGGTACTCTCCATACGACAGCAGATCAGTTTCCGTTCAGGCTTACAAGGCAAGTACTGCAGCGATTTGCCGTCGAACTCGATCTGGGTGTGCTGGTTCATGATGACCTGGGTTGTTCCGAGCAGTCCGAAAAGACGTCGAAAGCTGCTAACCCATACGTCTGGCTGTTGAGACTGGCGTTCTGCAGAACAGACACTTCTGTTTTCCGACAGATGCTCAGTGCGTATATGCACCCCATGTCGACTAGGTAATTTAAAACTGGCATCCATGGTTGAAACACGGCGTTAATGCATTGGAGCAGCCTCAAAATCTGGCTTCTAATTACGTCATTAAAATATGCATGAACGTTGTTTTTCTTCTAATACTTAAGCTACCAACGGTTGTTTGCTAACTTTTTCGCTAAGCCCATCAGCCCACCCAACGAGAATTGTAAAGCAGTGCTTCAGAACACGTATAAATCAGTGTTTATTGTTTGTTGGTTCAGTTATCAAGTGATGACCGTACAAAGTGTTCGATTCAGGCCAATGCATCTGAGGTAGACCTTGAACTGCGATTGGGGAACTGACGAGGACAGTAGAGCGTGTTCGCACTAGCATCTTCGCAAAAATGCTTTTCTCCAGGACGTTCAAGGCAACAAAAGTGCAAGTAATAGGTCGACATTTGCTGGATCCCAGTTTGGAATTTATATAATACTGACAATTCTCCGAAGGTCAAGGATTTTGTGGTGCTGAATACAAACTGTACATACAAACACAAGACAAGCGTCATTAGTACACCGATATGTAGTACCGTCGCTTCGCTGCTTGGCAATCATCACCGGTCGTACGCGGGCTAAGGATACCGCGAGGGTCGTCCTGCCCCTACTCAGGCTCGAACCTATGCCGTCAGATTACAAGGTCGTTACTTTTAGGCTACGGGCAGGTATTGCAAAAACACTAGCACCTTCTTCGAGTTTTATGGGAGATAATCCGTCCGGACCACTAGCTCTACTAGTACGTAGGTGCTGCCGTAGGTTATTCACATTTGCACTGTCGACAGGAGGCACTGATTCTAGAGATATTAGAATCTTGGCAATGAAAGGCTCTGGGGCTATATTATGTCACATTTACATAACCCCTAGTTCAATTGTCACTACATCCAAATCAAAATAGTGCGTGCGTTGAGTAACCCTGCTAAGCTTCTTTAACAACCAGACTTCGCGACAGTCAACGTTTCCGAGTATAGTACGGATATACACATATTTAAGGTGGCGTAGCTCCTCCTTGATACAAAGGTTGAGAGACCTCATGAAGTGGGGAATTCAGAACCTGTCCGGTTGGATAAAGACAGTTACCAAAGCATATCAGATGCAAAAGTAGAGATGTAGATTGGTTGTTGAATTGCCACAGCATTTAGATATGTCAGGGCCAAAGAATAAACTAAAGTATATGGATGCAACCATTTCACGAAGTCAATCAATATTTTGTGAAGAGGACTGCCTCTAACGGAACCTTCGGTCATTGTCTTGCTATAGATGGTAGGTGAACTTTTGATTGTTGTATGAGCTGAACTGTTAATCGGAGCACGATTGCACACAGAGAACCACCTCACACTATTAATAAACACCAGGTCCATAATCGGGTCTTAACTGATGGGCAAATTTATTGCGCTCCATAACCCGATAGTGAGAAGAAAAGTAGCATCAAATCTGTTGAAATCACCGGCGAAGATGTATAGAGAACAGATGATGTGTTCTATGATAGCTGCTATAAATTCCTCATAAAAGGTCTCTGCTTTAAGCTTGATACAAGTGTTAACCAGCAATTTTTAGTTGTAGCCACTCAAATACCTAGGCCTGCATGATAGGACTAAGCATTTGATACAATGTAAAGAGAAACAAAAGAGACGTCTTGTTGCAGTACACCTAGATGGACTACTGTAAATAAGGAGCACATCATCTCTGTTTTGGTAACTACATGGGCGGTGAACCCGATGGCAAATATATTCTCCTACAGATACGACAGTATCATGCACTTCTTTGCGGAGCCAGTTTTCTGGCAACATAATGGTGCTTAGATGGGAAATTTCTCCGGAAAATTACGGCGCACCCAAATTCCAATGGATTACGCGATTAGGACCATTGACCGTTTCATTGTTTCTATGCGCATGCACCCACCGATATGTACGCTACGTAACAACACAAAGAATGTCGATCGAAGTATGCAGTAATACCTAAAACCGTCAGGTGGTTGCAGAATTTTACTGCATTTTTGCTTTGCTTCAAACGCATTGTGAGATTTTAACTCACTACAGGTTCACTATCTTCAGCCACACAGACGATGATTGTTAGGAGTCGAGACTTCAACTTACCCCTGTAGCCAAACTTTAACAGTGTCCACTAGAAACCAACTAATGAGTGTCTTGTTTTTCTCTAGGGGAATATTATATATATATATATATAACAACATGTAAGAATAACTATTAAGAATTGGCCAAAGCCCTAAATATGTGGAAGTTGGTAATGTCCACCTTATTGCCACCTTCATATGCGAATGGTATAAAATGATATCTGTGATTTTCAACCAGATGTGTTTGCTTGCACGGAGGATAACAGGTTACGCTGCTGAAAAGTTACATAAAAAATCGTCATCTATCTGTGTGCTGTTATGTAAGGTCAGGTTTATCATAAACACAAGGGAAGAACCTCTAAGTCTGGTATCTGAAATGAACATACTACCGCCTGAAGTCAAATTCAAGTTCTAACCACCGAATATTACTTACCTCTATTTCACCATATTCTTCTGGAGATTCTTCACATTTGGAACTCCGACTCTAAAAGTAACCAAAGCATATTTCTAAGGGATACGGTCATGTTCTCGCAACTGATGACATGTGAGCATTTAAACAAGAATCATGGTTCCATTCTGCAGACTCAAGAGATGCATTGTCAAGACAGGGTGGATAATTGAATATGCTGGCACAACAGAGAGAGATACACATTTTGTTGAATTCGTCAGATCATATAAATTGTAGTTGCTACATCTTGTAAGCCAGAGAGAAAGAGAGTACAGGGAAGCCTCCAAAAATGACCACTTCTCTAAGATGATCTTTTTCCCCCATAGCTTGAACGTTTACTATGTAATCCTTATGGAACAGGACCTCTGTAGATTGACCACCTCTGTAAGTTGTATGTTGGTCACTGGGGTCATAACGGTCATCAAAAAGTTAACCTCCATAATTTGACCATATGAAGGTATATATATTTGCTCAAGTAATAATGCGTGGGGAGCGCGATTTTGTACTGTGTAAAATTATCCCAACACACAATCACTGAACTTTATGGATCCGCTGATGGTTGACGATACAGCATGTTCCCCGTCTGTGTATGTGCGTGTATATATTTCTCCCGCCCCTCAGTGTTTACGCGTATGGGTGTTTGTCACGTACACTGAAGGTGTATTCCCGAGTCTACGTCCACTGACTGACCTTGATCGCTTTTGTGTGAACTCTTTCCTTACCTGTCTACATACACCAACACCAGCACGCTCACCCAATGGAACATGTGCTCACTCACTGCAAAGGTTACAATCCGAAGTCGACTAATCATTTCTAAGCCAACTTGTTCAGTTATATTTGTAATAAGAAAAAGGAGCAGAGTAAGATCGACATTTTTCAATAAGCGATTCAACTTAGAGGAATCCAGACTGTGCTATTTAGTATAATACTATATTATTTAAATGGACTTGCCCCAAATCCAGATTGCCGAGGAAGTGTTGGAAATCACTTCCAGATTTTGCTACCATGGTAGCGAAATAACAACCGACCAACAGATAGCGTGCGAGCTGCGCAGCGGCTTATCGAAGGCGGCTGCTGCTTTTGGCAAGCTGGAATGTCATGTGTGGAACAACCACCACCTCACTGTTGGGACGAAGCTGCTGTTAAATAAGTCTATGCTGCTATCCGTTCTTATATACGACAGCGAAACCTGGACGCTATATCGAAAGGATGTCCGATATCTTGAGTGTTTCCATCAGCAGTGTCTGCGCCGTATTATGCGCATCGGTTGGTATGACCGAGTCGCAGACACGGAGGTGCTCCGACGCAGTGATATGTGTACAGTGGACTGCATAATTCTCCTGAGGCACTTGGGGCGGGTTGGGCATATTCACCGTATGGATTCGATCAGGATACCGAAACAGCTGCTTTGTCGCCAACAGAGTGCAGCGAAACTGCACCTTGGAAAACCGAAGTTACGTTACCAGGACCTGGTCAAAGTGAGTCTATTACGTTCTAATGTTGATGGCAGGTCATGTGAATGGAAGATGGTTGATCACCGTGCACGGTGTGAACTAATCACGAAGGCAGTTGCCGAGGTGTACTAGAAAGCCCTTGTCCATGCAGAGAAAAAGCGGCAAGTGTGAAAGCGACAGGCACCGATGGGCTGTAAGCCATCGTTGTCGATCGCATGGTGCTGTAGCACGTGAGATCGCGAATGTTTGAGTCAGGCCGATTTAGTGAGCTACGAGAGAGGCCGCTCGGGTCCAGCATCGAAATGACAATGAGTCCTGCTTAGAGTGTAAGCAGAACCGGCGCAACGTTGGTAGGTACGCTGCATTCGATTTACTAACCGCTTCCTTGTGTGCTGTTTCTTTATTTCAGATGAGTGGTTTGCTACCTTTAGTGTTCTTTTGTTACCTCATTTTATTGTGTACCTAAATAATCTATTAAATTGCACATTTCGCTTAAACTAAAGATGGTTAACTTCGCTAATCTTTTCTCCTTCTTATATATGTGTCTTGATCCCTTCTTCTGTCATCCTGAATCTATCACGGCCATTTTGATAAACTATTTATTTTATATGCTAATTTAGCGGCATATCCGTACGGGGTATTCGATCTATTTTATTCGACATTTCAAGTGATTGGCTTTTGCTTGATCTCCCCGGTGCGGCTGCGCTTGATGTGCATGTTGACAAGGTACATACCTGTCTATCACCGACTACCTCGTCCACACTGACTCTAGGAGACAGTTGGTCGTTGCTGGAGGGGACGGGGTGCACGGTTCTTGTGGCCGTGTTAGGATCAAAGAGTGGTTCCATCCAGTGTGGAGTGGACTAGTGTCCAGCCACCGCCTTGTGTGCGCTTGATTCCCAAATACAGCATGCATGTGTTTGTCTGTGAAGGAGTGTAGGCCGGCTCCGATGATGAAACGTGACTGTCATCCGCATGCCCTCCGGCCTTATTCCTTCGGGCGGGGTCATTAAATATGCCGTGCGGTTGTCACTGAAAGCCGTTTATACAACATCGCCATGGAGACATTAGTTTTCTCAGAATATTTCATCATTGAGAGTTGTCGAGCTATCTTCAAGTGCACCGCTGCTGTTCTTCGCGTAATCTTTGAGAAAAATTCAAGATACTGCGCAAGTGAAGATTGACGGTCCCCATTGAAAATCCAGCTTGCAAAGCTGGCTTTACCTTATTTTGTCCGGAACTGTTTAAGTGTTGCTGTTTTACACTGACTGTTTATTCAGGTGACACTTCTATATAGTGTCCTTTATCCATTTCTACAAATTTAGTTTTGAAAATGTAATTTCAGTTCATCCGTTCTCGATATTGTAAAATGTTGAAAATGTACCCATCCGGATACACAAAGCCTATTTTGACTTGGCTTATCTTGACTTGGATACGAGGTGTGTGGATGGAGCTGCGGGTAGTGCGACGCAAGCCACCCGTGGTCCTGCTGTAGGCGCAGGCGCCCTGAGGCTATCTTATGGAGGTCACAGTGACAGGCAAATCCGGAAGCGCATGCCGTCAACCATATTATTTGACTGTTTTACATTGCGTAAGACCTCATTTAATGTAGTCGAAACGTATTATACATAGCACTAACGTTTTTAACGTACTAATCACAAAGTGGAAGTAAATCACGCTAGGTCTTCTTATAGGACCACCGTTCTAACTTGACCAATTTGGTTTAGTCTCTTGAGTAGACAACATACGGTGGTTTTACTGTATTACTATTATTTCTAGCTGTCTGTCAAAGGTAACCCGGATCGATTACCTGGCGTTAGCGATGTATTCGTGTACATCGATATCCAAGCAGACATTCGGGAAAAAATCAATAACAGCAATCAACATGGATGGATTTAACACATAGTGCTTGTGAGCGAAGTCCAGCTCCATGGGGTTTGGTACGGCTCCGTTAAGATAAGCGGTGTCTATTTCAAGAATAGCAGCGCAGCTACAACCACAACGTTTGCAAAGGGGGCAATTAAGGTAGTCAGTCGATACAGGCACAATCGGTGAGAATTATTCATACCAAGCGGTGGTGGATGCGTACCGATGTGTTCTAACATGTCACACTAATTGGTAGCCTCCCTACAAGATGGTTTGTGTGCCTCAGCGAACCATTGAGCTATGCTGGGTGGTGCTTTTGCACCATCAGAGCCACTCATACCAGATTGGTCAATGGTTAGAGGCCAGACAAACTCAGACTCCTGGTCCTCCAGGTTGGGGGTTGAAATGAGGATGGCTCTTTATTCCTTAAAACGGACTCATTGTAGCCCAACGCCAAACCCACTGCCTTGCGGTCAGGTTTCTGAACCAAAGGCTTTGCTTGAGAACCCTAATCGTTCTCCTGTCTAAGTCTGGGCAACCTGACAGTATCCTGCCCACGCAATACAATGAATTTCTCTTCAAACGGTTTCTTGATGCTCTGGCCAGCGCAGAGGATAATCAACGGTGCCCTATCTGCTGCATCGAGCAGGGTGGATAGGGGTCTGGATGCTACTGCTCAAGCCTTCCCGTCTTCTTATTCCCCCACTTACGCTTTTTCTCTCTTACCGTCCCGTTCAAGCTTCACTTTTATCCCCCCTGGTTTCAACCCTCCAAATATCGGCCCTCCCCCACCTTGCTTCAATAGTCGCTTGTCTCTTAGTTTCAACTCACATGTGAACGCGGAGCATCACTGCTGTCCTGTCGACAATCCCATGTATAACCAAGCGGTCCACTCCAATTCATCGGCTTCCAATTGGAGTCGTCGACCATCCTTCAGTTTGGCATGCCTCAATATACCCACATGGCTACAGATCGGTCAACAGGCAGCACTTGCCCGAACATTAGAGACCCTCTCGATCAATACCAGCGGCTTACCGGAGATCTGCCTGCAAGACTAGAGCTCTGTGCTCACTCTGCGATCCCCTTCAGGTGACACCAGCAGCACTTTCTTATTGCGACTATCCGGTGACGAGGCAGCTTTGAGCACCGGCCAAGCCGGTGTTGGTACTGCCCTGAGTACCAGGGCTGAAGCTGCTTTGGTTGATTGGATTCCAATCAGTAGCCGGATGTGTGCGATCCGACTGGCTGGTTCGTTCAAAGCTTCGAAGCCGCTCGCGACTACCAGGTGTCTATTCGTCATCGCTGTCTACGCGCCCACAAACTGTAACGATGATTCGGTAAAAGAAGACTTCTACCGCCAACTTACCGAGCTACTTCGCCACAGAAGAAGCACGGACACTGTTATGCTGGTGGGGGATCTGAACGCTCAAGTTGGAAAAATACCGACTGATGAACTGCATCTGCGCGGCCAGCAAGGTGTAGGCTCCCGTTATGATAACGGTGAGCTGTTACTTCATTTGTGTAAAGATGTTCGTTCATTTATTGCGCGCACTAATTTCCGACACAGCAACCACGGGAGGGTAGTTTGGCGTCCACCAGCCTCGAACTAACTATGGACGCAAATCAATCACATTGCGATAAGTTACCGATGGAGAGGCTGTGTCCGGAACTGTCGCTCGATTTGGAGTACATGCGTGGACACCGACCATGCACTTG